AATCAAGGCTGCAAGACGCACAAACTTTGTGTTGATTTCTCCACTTAGCTCATTAACTCCTCTTATCTCTCTTCTTCATCCCCTGGAGGGAAGGAAACCTCAGACACCTGACTTTTTATTAGTGTATTATTTAGCCTTCCTATTGCTGGGACCAAACCCCTGACACCTGCAGCCTGAAGGGGGCGATATTTATTTAGCTCACGGCTCCTCAGAGGGTTCAGCCCATGGTTGGATGAGTGCACAGCAAGAAGGCCCTGGTGGAGAAGAGTGGCTCAAACTGTGGCCACCAGGAAGCAGACAGAGACGGAAGGGGGAAGCTGAGGACCAGAATCCATCTTTCAAGTCACGCCCCAGGGGCCCCCTGCTCTGGCCAGGCCCCGTTTCTCACAGCCCACTGAGCCACAGACTCAGCCGTGGATGCATCCACTGGGACAGCAGTGACCCACGGTCCGATCACCTTCCACGTGCTTGAGACTTGTGGGCTGTGTTAGATCTACAACAGAGTTCAGAAGACCTGAACGTCTGCGAAGGTAGTTATATTTGGAAGAGAATCCATGTTTAGTTTGGCACCTTGCAAACTTGCTGATTGATTAACTGATTGATTCACTCATTCATAAGATGTGTGGAACTAATTCAGGACTGCTGTCGGGGACTCAGTGCTGAGCCAGATGGCCCTGGCCCACCGGGAGGTTACAATCCAGCAGAGAACCCAGGGTAGACAGTAACTCTTCAGAGCGCTTGCGTAAGTCCCATTGTAAATGCCACGAAGCGAGATACAGGAAACGCAGTGAGCTTCAGTGAAGGTGCGCCAGCCGCATCCAAAACCCCAGATCGTAGGAAGTGGCAGAAACCCAGATGGGTACTGGAAGACAAGACTAAAATACTTCAGTTTTTGTGAGTATTTATTTTTTAGACAGGGTCTCACTATGCTGGCCAGGCTGGAAGCGCTGGGCCCAGTTATCCACCCGCCCTACCTTCTCGGGTAGCCGGCACTAGAAGCACGCAGACTCAGCTTAGCTGGCTTTCCTGTGAGTTCTGGCACTAAGCGACACCTCATTCCATAACATGCTGGCCCGCTGATGAGTTGGGCAGAGGAGTTTGGTTTCAGGGATGAAGTCTGAAGAAAACAGAAACAAAAAACAACAAGGGAAGGGCTACTGCAAAACTGCATTCCTTTAAGAAAGAATTAGAGGGTCGGGCAAGGCGCACTGAGGCAGCTATTGAGACTGGATGTGGTGGTACAGGCCTGAATCCCAGTGCTTGGGATGCTGAAAACAGAAGGATCACTGTGAGTCTGATCTGTGTAGTGAGACCCTGTAGATCCTGAATCCCCTTTACTAAATGCATTTAAAAAAAAAAGAGGGCTGGGCATGATGCCACATGCCTGTTATCCTAGCACTCAGAGGCTGAGGCAGAAGGGTCCTTGTGAGTTCGAGACTGGCCTGGGTTACAAAGTGAGCTCAAGGCCAGCCTGAGCTGCAGAGCAAGACCCTGTCTCAAAAAAAAAAAAAAAAAAAAGAATAAGAAGACAGAACCCAGGAAAATAGAGGTCATCTAAAGTCACCTGATGGTGACCAGCTTTAATTGGCATGATAATGGGATGGGGCAACTTCGGCTGTTATCTCTCAAAGATAAAGATGGGGCAACCTGGACTCTTAGCTCTCCACTCAGGGCAGGTAAACAGCGGAGCCTCACTCAGGAGGGCCACATAGAGCCTGACCAGGATCAGCGCCCTGTGTACAGGATTGCTGTCCAAAACAATGGCTTCTCTCGATGCACAGTTTTTATGGGAGCAAGAGAGGGCACAGTGAGCTGGCGGCCAGGAAATCCAAGCTCTGGGCGGGGGTCTTCCTCCCCAGAAAGCACAGCACTCTGTGTCTGTCGCGCCTTCTTCCTCCCCAGAGCTTCAAAGGACCTCTACTTCCTGGGACAGGACCTGGGTTTGTTTTCCCATGGACACACTCGCATTTCTGTAAGTCAGTTTCTGAGAGCTAAAGGCAGGAGGATTCTTTCCAGGTTCTCAACAAAGAATTGCATGACGTATGCAGAAGGTAGTAAGGTCTGACATTTATGAGGGTCAGTGAGCTCACAGGGGCCATGCAGTTCACTGTGCTGTCTTTGCATCCCCCCCTCCTCAGGCTAACCTCAGATCTAGGCGGTCCTATCAAAAACTTGCTTGATTTCATACAGGAAGAAATGAAGATGGCAGAAAAAAAAAAGAAAAGAAAAGAAAAGAGGAGCCGGCCTGATAGCTCAGCGGATTAAAACTCTGCACTCTGCCGGCCAGAGTTCATTCCCTGGCTTGCCATGCCAGCCCGGCTCCCGGGGCATGCTGAGCCAGAGATTGAGATTGGGTGTGGTGCCGCGTGCCTTGTAATCCCAGCTCCTGGGAGGCTGAAAACAGGAGAATGACTACAAGTCTAACCTACATAGTGAGACCCGGTAGACCCTGTCCTAAATACAGAAAGAAAAAAAGAAATGAAGAGGGTACTTTCTGACTGGTCTCAGGGGCAGGGCTCAGGAACTGTGTTCTGCGCCTGGGTCCTGGAGCTCCATGACTGACAGGTCATGGCCAATCGCTCCACCAGTTGGTCACACCCTAATCTCTCTCACACTCATAGTCTACCACTGAACTGCACTCCCTGCAGGTAAAGTAAGTCTTGCCAGATACTGAGGGGGTGAGCTGGGTGCGGTAGTACACACCCGTAATCCTAGCACTCTGGGAGGCTGAGGCTCAGCCAACAGCCCGTGGTGGGGCTCAGCTTTGTGTCCCCTCTGAAACTCGTGCAAAGACCGGATCCCCAGTGTGAGGTGCTGGGGTGGGGAGGTCACCCTTTTGGGGAGCAGGCGCAGGCTGCTGCAGAGAGGGCTTCGGTGGTGGCCTCACCCTTCTGCCTTCACTGTGGGATGAGGTGGCAGGCAGGCCGTGGGCTGACGCTACATG